GCGTAGTTTGTCTTGCCTGCCTGTCTGATTTTCTCTCTCTCTCTCCCTCTGTGTGTGCGTGTGTGTGTTGCACTGCAAAACAGATGGGCCACACCTTTCCTCTTGGCAGCCCTGCTAGAAACAGCAGTGTCTAATAACGGAACACTAGTTACCTTGGGAAAAACAGCATCCCTTTCTCCGACTTCAGGGATGTGCAGCATTTAAGGATTAGAATTTGTAGAGGCTGCAATCCTGTATAGAGTTAAGCTGCTTAAATCCCATTGAGGTTGGTGAGCATTAAGCTGCCTAACCCCATGCAGGATTTCTGTCATGGTCTTTTGTGCCTCTGCAGGTTATTAATTCCTCATCATTTCCAAATCAGCAGTTAATATACAAGTAATTAGGAGCATCAGGTTTTAGAAGTGTCCCACCCAGGAAGAAAGGTCTTGGAAACATGTATTATGGTGAGAGGCTTAAAGATGTCAAGTGAAGATTCAGTTGTGATTAGTAATATAACTGCACTGCACAATTGTCTGCTTTAGAATAAACGTGTGTCCATCTTGCATGTAGCAGTTATCAGTCTTCTTCTAGAAGCAGGGAGTTTGAAAAGTAAGGAGATTCTGCACATGTGCAATCAGCAGCAACAGAAAAGATGCCCAAAGCCAAATACATTGAAGGCACATGTCTGCTCTCTCTTTTCCCCCTTTGCTTTCAAGAAACTCTCATGGATTGCTGTGAATCATGTGACTGGAACTTCCCTCTAGCCTTGTCCTCCCTGTCTTTCATTTGTTGGACATGAGTCTTATCGTCTGAAAGGCCTTACTGATGAACATAGACTTGATGAAATTTATCAGTTGCCTAAGTACAGATGCTGCTTATTGAAGGCTAGGCTTCCCACACCCTGCATCCCTCCAGATGTTTTACATGACAATTCCCAGGATTCCTGGCCAGAGGCCAGTTCAACACATCTAGAGGCCATGAGATTGGAGAAGGTTACTGTCATCAATACCAGTTTTGAACTTATGATTTCACATCTCTTTTTGCTTAAATGCACACACACAGAGAAAGAGAGAGAGAGAGAGAGAGAGGTGTAAGCAGGAGAGGGCTTTCCTTTCAGGGTAGATGACAAGGATTCTTTGAAGTTCTGAACACTGTTGAGAAGCCATGCCCTGCCACTTTATCCCTTTGAAAGCGTTTGGAGAATACAGGAGGGCTGTGAAGAGGGAGGCATTTGAAGGAAGCAGGGGAGGAAGTCTCACATGCACATTCCAGGAGGGGGTTCCAGGCAGATGGGGGCAACCAGGGTGAAAGGGCAGAATCACTTGAGTGAATAGGAAACCTTCAGACAGCTCATGTTGGTTAAAGGTTTTTCAGTCTATGATTAAATTATGCTGTGAACGTGTGCAAAAAAGAGAATGGCAGTGCAAAGTTTCTTTTCCCTTTGTGTATATCTGAATGCCAAGACACTACTTTTACTGCATATATAGAAGGGGTTAAGGTTTAGGGTTAAGATTAGTGATGACCCATTTAAGCCTTGAGCCAATAGACGAAGACAACCAGGACATCTTGTGGATGCAACTGGGAGAACTTATGGGCCTGCCCAGGATTGTGTTTAGCTGCCTGAAAGAAGCTAACCCCAGACTGGAGTCCTAAAAATAAAAAAATAAAAACTCTCCATGGATTATGTGACCAAAGTGTGTTTGTGGGTTAGTCTTCCTCCTCCCTTGTGCTTAAATGACTTTGCATTTTGTGGCAAAGTGATTTTCCAGTGGCACTATATAGTGGTACATAGAAGGCCATTTGTGAGCTGGAACCATTTCTTGAAGAGCATTCAGGATTTAAATAGCTTGAAAATGCAAGCAGAACTGAGTGGGATGGTGATTAATGGCTCTATAAATACTTCTATTAGCAAGAGTAAATGGCTGGATTTGAACTCAGCACCTCAGCCCTCAAGGCCCAAGCTCTTCACCCTGTACACTAAATGCTCCATCAGTTCAGCTAATGGGAATGGAAGGAAGAGTTTCTCACAAGTCCATAGTGTAAAGAAGCTTAATATGATGGCTCTAATCAGGTAGATCCAGGCTCTCTTTAATTAGGGTGGGTTATTCCTATTCACTGAATGTTCTTGTAAGACTTGCTTCTGTTGATTTATAGAAACAACTTCAAGAGATCAAGACCACAATCCTTAAGCCATTTGTAGCTAATTATTAGCACTGGAGCTGATGGGATGTATTTGGAAGTGTAGCAATTGAATGTCTAAACGAAAGCCAAAGATACCGAAAGAAAACTCTCTTTCTGCCCTTACCACAACAGATGTCTTAGAACTAGAATGAAAGCTGTTTTCCTTAGGTTTGGAGTTGACACGCAATGGGCCAGCCAAACACCAGAGACATGGCATGACTCTTCTTTTGAAGTCGCATCTCCTGCAATCTTGACAGTATAGAAGGATTTTCAACCCTCTGATGTAAGGAAGTGAATGACTTCAAAAGAAAGACTTTGAGTTTATGCAGGTGAAGTATGATCTCAAAGGGAGAGCATGTAGCGCTCCCCTGCTTTGTCTGTATACTAACAGCATTTTATCACCTCCTCTTTACAACAGCAGATCAAGTCAGTCTCCTGCTGGAACCCCTTATATATGTATATCTCCCTATAACTGGCCTGCAGAAGGAAAAGTTCAGCCTGCAGGAAGGCATGCAAAGGTGGTTTCTGGAAACTATCTGAGATAGCGTGATGATAGCATAGTGAGTTGATAGCAAATAAGTGAGTTTGGGGTTATATATTGTCTGAAAAGATGTAGCCATGTGTCAATGCTATCTTTGGGGATTTCCTCCCAGTTCTAATACCAGTGAGAAGGAAATCAGATGATGTGTGTCTTCAGCAGGTATTACAAATCAGACAAAGGGTAGTTTCTTCCACTGTAATGTGAAATTGAGATGTGTGGCAGTGTCTAGACTTCCTGGGAAAGTTCAACATCACAGGGCTCCGTTTGCTTCTCTGTGGTTCTCTCAATCATGCACTGAGACTTATTCAGCAATGTACAAGTTCATTCAGTGAACAGAAATACAGAACATTTCTCAGAAGCTGGGCTGGGCTAACTCTGCCTACCCCACGTTCATTCCTTCAAGGTACTGAGCTGTACCTTCCTCTGAGCTGGAGTTGCTCCTCATCCCATGAGTTCCACTGGCTTGCCAGGTCAAGATGCAGCTCAAGCATGTGCAAACATTTTGGCCCCAAGGGGACGCATAAATACACACAGACAAACACAGACAGGCAAGCCTGGGACTTTTCTTGCTGATGCTGACATTCACAAGGGGATCCCCTTGCTTCTATCTCGACAGAGGCGGCGTCCCCAAAAGGGATCTCAAATCATGTCCAGTGCGTGACTAGAGAACTTGCATACAAAGAGAGGAAGGATCAGTCTTGCCACCAGTCTGGCTGAAATGCATGTGGTGTCTGTTCTCATCTCATGGGATGTGATTCCTGCTTCACATGAGACTTTGGTTTCATAATCTTCCAATGACCAGGAATACCTGTTATCTTGGGATTCCCCTTTGTTTCATTTCTCTGGGCTTTGCCACTTGATTATTGTGTTGGGGCTCAGACCCTCAGCCTTGCCTTACCTTTTGGAAAGTTACTTGTGCTTTGTCTCTAGCCATGGCTCCTATGGCAGCCATTTTTGGTAGAGCCCACAACTATTACCAAATGTGCCCACAGGATCTAGCTTAAGTTTTACATGGAAAGTGTATAGTTACAATTTTAAATCATTGCATGTATAGAAAGATGTTTAATTTAATGAACAGGGATCTTTCTCGGAGTGAACCAAAACAAGACAGATGATATAGATATAGGTATAGGTATAGATAGATATAGAGGGATATGGTGGTGCAGTGGGTTAAACTGTTGAGCTGCTGGGCTGGTTGATCGAAAGGTCGCCAGTTCGAATCCGCACATGGGGTGAGCTCCTGTTGCTCCGTCCCAGCTCCTGCCAACCTTGCAGTTCGAAAGCATGCAAATGCAAGTAGATAAAAAGGTACCACTTCGGTGGGCAGGTAAGTGCATTCCGTGCACTTTGGTGTTTAGTCACGCCGGCCACATGACCACGGAGACTGTCTGCGGACAAGCTCTGGCTCCCTCGGCTAGGAAACGGATATGAGCAGCGCCCCCTGGAGTCAGGCATGACTGGACTTTAATGTCATGGGTAAACCTTTACCTTTATAGATATACAAGTGTGCAAATATTCAGCATTCTGATTGTATTGTTGCTTTTATGTTTTTTTTTCTTTGTCCAGGCAGCCAATGTGAAGTAGATATAGATGAATGCCTCTCGGCACCTTGTCTCAATAATGGAAGCTGCGTGGATGACATCAGCTATTATAAGTGCCACTGCCGAAGTGGTTTTACTGGAATAAACTGTGAAACAAATATTGATGAATGCTCATCAGCACCTTGTCTGCATGGGAGGTGACTATTTTTAATTTTACTATTATTACTCTTTAAAAGAAAGAGAAAAGGAAGAAGTACTAGCAACATTTAAGATTTAATTTTGAGGAAGGTTGCTGAAGGTACTTCTAATTGCACCATTCCATAAAGTAAAAATACAGGCACAGTTAAAGGATGACAGATGTTGCCAGTTTAAGCTAATGCAATATAGTGTTACATTATCTCATTTCTACTTTCATTTGAGTGCAGTAACATAAAGTAATTTTCAATAACTGTGCATTAATTAGACTTTAATATACTTGCAAGTACTCCTTCAGCCTTTGTATTCCAGCAGGTTGAGACCAGACTCTTTCCTTTGGAGGTGAGCAACATGTGTTTGCCCGTTTAAAGGGCTTCTGCCCAACAAAATAAAGTTATAGGGGCATTTTCTATTATCTTTCATGGGGTGTAGCCAGCATGTAGTCTGAAATTTGTGTTTGGATACAAATGAATAATATAACTCATGCTGTGTCACATACATGTATATATGCATACTGGACTGTTTGTAAAACAAGGACTCCTCTTTCCAGATGTATTGATATGATTAATGGATATCAGTGCAGCTGTGAAGCTGGATGGATCAGCTCAAGATGTGAAACTGATGTTAATGTAAGTCTTTCCTTAAATCTTGTTCCTGCACATAAAACTTCATAGACCCATACATGGTTAGTCAAACCAATAGTCTCTGAGGGCTGAACTTATTATTATTTTCCTTTTTACTCAAAAGGGCAGGAGCCATGGTCAGGATTGGGATCTCAGCACAGTAGAGTAGGAGCCTTTAAATGGTAGCCCAGTCAGGGTCTTAATATGTTTTGGAGGTCCCACACCTGTGTAGAACTGGTTGATCTGTTTAGAAAGTAGCATCCTTTCAGAACTGGACCAAATTTCCCCCATCACTTTGGATTGGTCCCATTCAAAGGTATCCCAGTGGTTTCAGTGGTTAGGTAGTAGTAAAGTGCTCTGGAGACATTTGCAGGTTGTTATAATGTTTTAACCATCCAGAGAGTGGTTAAAAGTTTGTAAACCACCCAGAGAGCCTTCTGGGCTACTAGGGTGGTATATAAATGCAAATGATAAATAAACATAGTTCCATAAGTTTTATACTTACTATAATCTATTGAATTAACACACTGGCTCATTCTTTTCTATGGCCATGCAGACCCACATCAATGTTTCTGGCAGCTTTCCATGCTGCTGCTTCCAGAAGCAAAATAGATTCTTGAGTCGGGGTTATCAGGATAATATCAATGAAATATGTAGCGCATAGTGCACCCATCCAGAGAGCTAGCAGGTCTCCAGGCCTCTGGAGCAGGGATGTATGAAGAACCTCTTTTGGGGGTGGGAATCTGTTGGATCCCCTGGGCTCACTCCCTGGACTTCAGTCTACTTTGTCACAGCTCTGAGCCCAACTTCCCTGGCAAGCACACCCAGTGCTGACGGGCTGCTCACCAGAAACCAAGCCTCTCACCCCACATAAGCAGCACCCTTCTTCTGTCCATGTGATTTGCACCCTCATGCTGCACACAATGCAGAAGCAAGTTGCTGGTTGTACGTCTGGGATTCTGTGAGCACTTCCGGACTCCCTCTCAGGTTGGCCGACTTTGGGCCGAGCACAAGAGGAAGTCTGTGAGTGCTGAAGGGATCGATTCCACTGAGTTTCATCTCAGTCCAACTCTGAAGCCTAGAAGGCTGCAGAAAATCCCTTCTTTCCCCTTTCAGTTGATGGAAGCCTCCACTGGATCAGTGAGCCTTTCATGAAAAGAAGGCAGATTGAATGCGACACGCTATGGATTTAAGAACTAAGGATCATGTAACTAATTCTTTTGTTGGTGTTGTTGTTGTAAGGGAACAGGGAGCAGGGAACATAGATATTGGCCACTTGCAGCTTTTTGCATAGTGTTTCAGTTTTCCTATTAAAGCATTAATTGACTATATAAGTGACATATTAGTTCTCAGAAGCCTTCTATTATAATTGTTTGCAGAGATGTCATAGCCTTCACTGTATTAAATATTTCAATAATTTGATAGGCCTTAGGAATTACATTCGAACTCTATTTACTACCTGCAGTCTGCACTCCAGGAGAATACATATCTTTATCCTTTGGAATGTCTATATTTCTTTTGATGTTCAGTAGGCCATAATAGGAACTAATTAAGCTTTAGTTCATCTTCTGCCTAATGCCATGCAGGTTGTAGCATATTGCAAGTTCAGCATGCTAACAAGAACTGAAAGCAAATGCATGTTACTGGGCTGTTTTTTTTTAATGTCATTAACATTGTGCAAGATACTTATTATTCATTATATGCATTGCATTGATCAGAACCATATGGAAAATCAGAACTCTGTCATTGCATTATAAGTTGACACTCAATATTCAGCACTATTCAAACGCTCCTCAGCACAGCAGTTCAGGGACCACCCTGAGCAACTCATTTATTCCCTGAGACTGACTTAACAGGGAGAAGGTACCAGGGATCCATGACTGAGATAAGACTCCTGAAGCATTGCTGCATTGCAAAGTACATTTGCCCATTTTCACCCCCATTTTTACTTGTCCCTCCCCTGGTTGCTCAGACCCTCCTGATGAATCTCTTTATTCCAAGCACATTCTTCACTGTCCTTGTAAGGTGCAGCCCATCCCTTGCCAGCAGTCCCTCTTACAGGAATTATAGCCTGTGGTCCCAGAATCCAAATCTCTCATGTTGGCACCACTTTTGTAGCCAGGCATTTACTCAAAGGATTCATCTTTCCTTTCTATTCCCTTTCCAAGTACTGGAGGGATGAATGAAAAAAAACTATCTGTGCTCCAAAGCTCTTGAGTTTCCTTTCCAAAGTTTGCAAGCATTATATGATTTCTTCAGAGTTCCTCAAGGTATTATCACTTATTCCCACATGGATAAGAAAGAAGAGATACAAACCAATGCACTTTATGAACATGGGCATCTCTTAAGTCACAGCTCTAATCTTTCCTCCGGGGAGGCAGCATACCAGTTGAGATCATGGTAACACAGACAAGTGTTGCCAACACAGACAAGTTTCGGTCCTACACAACAGGGAGCCTCTCCTAACTACCATTTTTCTCTTCTTCTGCTGTAGGTCTTGGTTTCATTGCTTAACTGATCTTAAGCCTCTTGCTTGTTTTTTCCCAGTATGTCCTATAGTCCTTCCTCTGTAGGCTGTCCTCCAGTCTCATCTTCAATGACCTAAGTTTGACTCCATATAGGCTTGTGATGATCCTGGCCCTCTTCGGTTCATCAGATTGCTTGTGTTCATCCCTCACTTAGGAAGCAAGCTAGGCCAAGAAGAATTCCATGAACACTAACACAGCTCTGGTTGTGCCACCTCTGTATGTGCAGCACAAAAGAAGGCTGCAAATCACGTGTATGGAAGAGGAACACTGTCTGCAAAGTGTTCACATGGGTTCTCTTCCTGGAAGCAACCCTACGAATGCTTGGTATGTTTGTGTCAAGTCAGAGTCCCAGCCGCAAGAAAGTGGATCAGAGTCTAGGGAGCCCAACCAAAGGAATCTGATGGCTCCCTGGCCCAAGTCAGATTCCTCATACATCCCTAGTTCCACTGTTTCCTCTGGCACAGAGTGTCTTCTCACTCTTCCGCTTTCCTCACTCTTTTCCAGGGAGCTTCCCCAATTTCATTTTTTATTCGATTCTCCCCTTCTGCCTCAACTTGCTCTTGTTCTTGGAGTTCCCATACTTCACTCTGCTGTTGTACAATGCTCTCTCTAAGAACTCTTCTCTTCCTGCATTCCCTTGAAGAGGGACACTTGCTTCCCAGTGCTCCCACTGTTTCTTCCAACAGGATAACCAGTTTACACTTTTACATGTCTAGGCCATGTTGATCTCAGGCAAGAAAATCCTGCACAGGTCCCCACCACTGGAGAGCTTTTCAGTTCATAGTCTCTACTCCCTCTTTGATTCCACTTTGCTGATAGTGTGGACCATTAGAATGGTCTGTGCTTTGTCATATCTTTCCTGAAGATTAATAACAGAGCCCCAGCAGTAGATAACTGTGTGTTACAAAGGGAAAAACGATTTTTATGGATCTGCACTTTCCTATCCAGTAATTGGGTAGAGAATTCTGGAAGCCATTTGCACACAGCGGTAGTGGCTTTTGGCCATTGCTGCCAACTTGGTTTGACAGGAGCTCTCTAGAACCTCAGGCAGGGGACATTTCTGCCATCTGGCCTGATATGGTTTAATGGTGGATGTCAGTGATGGAGTCCACTGCTTTTTCCATGCAAGATCACTTTATAGAGCTATGCACAGTCCTAGGGGCACCATGCTGTGTCTGTGTTCTGACACAGTGGTGCATAACCATGCTGGTGGACAACCTCCTGCAGGTCATATTTCTAGGACCGGCCACATTTTTTCCCTTGGATGGGCCCAGTGAAAGCAGCATCACAGTTTTAATCCTCCTGTGTGTTCTTTGACACGACTATTATTTTGTGGCTGTTCTTTTATTGCATTTATTTTGTATTTAACTTGCAATTGTTTTAGGGTCTATTTTTATAGACCATCTTGGCAATATGATTGAACAGTAATATACAAGTACAGTGTATAAAAGTGCAGCATTTATGCCACATAGATAAGCATTCCTGCTAGCCCAACTGGCTCATCCCTCTTTATCTATTGCATGGGGGTGGGCGGGCAGAGAGAGAAATCAGGATGCCAAAGCAGTATAACTAATCCTTGCTATGAGAATCCGCAGCTCAGACCCTTCCACTTTGGCATTTTTGCTGCTCTTCGAAAATGTGTCTCTAAGTAATTATCTTCAGTTAATGTTTGTGACTTTTCTTTAGGGAACCTGACTTATTTGATTTTCCATTCTCATTTGTTCCAAAAGAGGCATTAAATTTTCTGCAGACCTTGTAACTTAATTCATTAAGGAACAGATGCTGATTCCTTCTGTAGTACTAGCAAAACCGCTTTATGTCTCCGTCGTTTCCCAAATTAATGGTAGTCCATGAAGGAGAGAGGTAGATTTTCCAAAGCAAGTATAGAAGAGTTCAGAGGTAACTTTACTTGCACGTAGAGCACAGTAGGCATCCTGGATTATTTGAAACCTGAATGTATGCCCTTTAAAAAAATGTTCAGGACATGTTCCAGCCAAACTTAAAGCATTTTTCATCCCATTGCTTTCAATAGGAGACTCAAGGAGGTTGTTAAATTTCCATATGGAGAGAAATGGAACTTAAACGTATTTAAGAGTATGATCTTATAATCCTACAGCAAATGCTTGTAAGTCTCTGAACATGGAGGCTTCTGGGTATGCAATGCAAACCACAAGGTGTGGAAGCAGCAATCTCTTCACCTACCATGCCGGCATTTTACCTAGATGGCTGCTTTCAGCTGACTAGATTATGGGGCACTGAGGGGCAGGAAGGAGACTGGGTGTTGATTGTCACTGGTACAACTCCATGGCCCAAGCCTCCCATCCTCCTTGCCCCATTTCTCCCCACTCTGAGGCCCAGTTGTGCCATAGATAATCACAGCATTCTGCTCCTGGACATGAGATATGGCCAACACCTGTCAGACACTAGTATCCTTTTCCTAGGGCGGTACACCATTTCCCCCTACTTTTTCCATTTTTG